AAGTGACCCTTCCTTGTTTTCACATGTATGAGTTGCTTTCCCTTCCTCAAAAAAACAAGCGACAGCAAACAATAACTGGCGTATTGGGGTGTTCTAAGACAGCAAGCTACAAAGTTAATGGACTGCTTTTTAGGGCATGGTGACCCATAGGAATGAGCAGGAGAAGAAACACACATCTTTCATAGACTTTGTTCTTGGATGGAAATCACATGCCTCTATTATTATATAACTTCAGGACTATAAGGTGGCGTCCTGCTTCTGTCTGCTTAGGGCCACTGCACACCCCCTAAGATTGCATGTTTCCTCTATTTTGTTTTTTCATATGCTTACTCTTTCGTCACTCTCAAGCTCAAATTAGAGTGCTTTCTTCCCTCATTTAAGGAGGACTGTTCTTTTCTAGATTTATGCAGAAAAATCAGCATATGCATTTGCCTTGGGGTTTTTTCTGCATTAATATGTCACAATGCCCATAGCAAAGGTGAGCATAAGGAACTAGTAAGTTGGGACTCTTTGGGAAGGTGTGAAGATATAAATTTTCTCCTCAGAGGTCTATTCTTTTCAGTTGCATCCAGTCCACATAGGCTGGATCAGTCTGTGTTTCTGCTAAAGCATCAGCTTGAGGGATTTGTTACAGAAACAGAAGAGGGGGTTATGCTTCAAGAAAAGATGACAGGAGCAGGGGGAACTCACTACCTTCTATGGTACTGGCAGCATTCAAATTGTCCTGCGTCTTCAGTCTGTAGTCTTGCAGGCTGGGGTACCTCAGCCCCATCAAAACACACTCTGGTCTTCTCTCTAACACATTACCTTGCTGATCTGACTCTTCTCAAGAATACAAAAAGGGTGGTTTCTGTTGAAGCTGTCAAATCCCTGAAGGTATTGAAGAAACTGAAGTACTGAGGTGATCTTAGTAGGATAAAGGGTGGGAAGAAGGGCAGTTTATCAGTCAGAAAAGTGACTGAACACTGGATAAAAGAGCATGAGTAGCAGGGAGAAGGTGAAGTCCTGGTTTTCTTCATGTTTTTCTCTAAGTTAGTTGCTGAAATCTGTGAGAGGTGCCCACCAGTATTCACATCTCAAAATCTCCTTCAGAAAAGCAAAAGCACTCTAACAAAGAGGATTCTGTTCGCTAGAGAATGTAACTGCTGCTTGTGACTGACAGGTTTCACTCAGTCTCCGAACTCCAGCAGGCTGAGAAGCAATACCAGGTTGAAGGATCTTAGCATGAAGGAGGTGAAAGCTACAAAGACAGTGCAGAATATTCTGATTCTCAGGGCTGACGGTTGTTAGGTGAAAAATGCAAAAGATTACATTTGACATCATCTTGCTTTGCCCCCAAACTTTGGAACAAGTGCTGTCAAAAAAGTGGCCATCACACAGATTAAGTTCATTAAAGCCACATGAAGAAAGAAAACCAAAAGATGATCCAAGGTCACCCTGTATTCTTTCTCAACAGTTGCCTTTCAGCTAGAGGAAAACACTAGGCCAAATTAACGTCTGCTACAAACAGATGTGTTCTCTTTGAAATAAATGCACCCACTTACGCTCTGCCTGCATTAAGTCTGTTACCGGCTTTTTATGAGATTTGGCAAGTGCAGTGCTATCTGTTAATATCTGGAGGTGGGAGTGTTCAGGGAGTTGTCTGAAAGGCTTGCAAGACTAGATCTGATCATATCCACCCACACTAATTAACACATTACATAAAAGTACAACAAGTTTCTCTTTGCAAACATCAGAATCACTTGCCCAAGCACTTTCTGAGAAGTTCTAGAAGAACTATAGGGGTGGGCTGTCACTTTTTAACCTCAACAGAACAATGGATGAGTAGACAAGGGATAGTTCCCACTTTCAGGGCTCACTCCTTTTCTTCAACCTGCTAAAAACGTGCCATCAGCAGAGATACAGCTAGAAGGACCTTTTTAAAGTTCACCAAGGGTGCATGAGGGAACATGATTTTGTTTTTTCTCATCAAAAACAAAATACATCAACTTTTGAACATGAGGAATTAGATTTACTTACAAAGGATGACTCCTCTCCCTGCCCTGCCTCGCTAATCCTGAAAATTACTTTGTACAAACACCAGCCGCTGAAAACACCTGGAACTGAGAAATCAATCCTCCATTTAAGTAGGGTCTTTTTATGTCATGAGAATATATGTCCCAAAACGGCTAACATTTCTCTATCATTCAAATTTTAAAAGCAGCAGCAATCTCCTCTACAAAAACAAGAGCAAGGGGTCTTCTACTTCTTCATAGATTGGAGCAAGTAAAACTCATTTCATATGAAACTTCTGTGACCTGCTCCTACAGCTTCACCTAGATTCCGCCAGCAGGATAATATATATATATATCCTGATTTCGATTTACTCTAGACTCTTTGTATGACATCTGGCTTCAAGATGGTGGCACTGAAAAGTGCAGTAATGACATAGGAAAACAGAAGGAAAAAAAAATAATTGTGCAGTGGAAAGCAGGAGGCAGTGGAGAGAGCAGGGAAAACCAAAATTAAAATAAGTCAAAGGGCGGAAATTCCTTTGAGAAGGCCTTAGGCTTTAACAAAGCTTGTCCACATTTGCAGCACTTCAGGATTGCCCAATACTAACCTTATGTGAAAAGGGACAGTAGACCTCAGCAGGCATTCCAGAGGAGCCTTTCTAAAAAAAAAAAAGTCTTCAAATGTATCCATGCAATTTGCAAGTAGCTCATTGGATGGAGAGCATTCTGTCTCGCAACGCTCACAAGAGAAGAAACTCTCTTACCCAACTCTTCCTTAATATCTGAAAAGCAAAGTCAATGTTTTCCTCATTATTTTCTGATTGCTGCATACCTCTCCCCCACTGTGACTGCTATTTGACCTGTTGTCCGCTCAGAGACCCTGAGGGAAAGAGAGAGGGAAGTTTGTGTCTACGTGTATGAGAGGAGTGAAATGACGAGTCTCAGCTATGTTCAGAGTTGTTTATATTCATTAGAAAGGAATCAACAGCACTTAGTATGTAAGACAACCTCTGAAGATAGGGAACATCTTTTATGCAGTGCAGGAAAAGAGCAGATTCATCTAAGGGACAGGATTTGGAGATGAGTGGGGAGTTACTTTCAGTGTGTGTACTAGTTTTTACCTCACTTTTGCATTAGGATGCCATCAATGAACAGAATCTCTGCATTAAGGTTTAAGGGGGACACTGCAGGGTGCCCTTTTTCACCAATTCTCTTTGCTTTTGCATCTACAAGCCTGGCATGCCTGACTGATTAATGAGAAACTAGAAAAGATTAGAGTGCATAAGGGGAGGTGTGTATATAATCATCCCTTCCTCTCCCAAGTGTCTCTTGATAAACATGGTACCTTCCACATTCCTGGCAGATCCTGGAAGGATTCTCCCTTTATCGCACCTGCGTTTTCAATGAACTGGGTTTCTCCTCAAAAAATTGACAAAAAAATAAAGCTGAAAGCATCTATTAGGGTAGGCGTCAAAATCACAGAGATCAAAGTTTCTTTTTATCCTCTCCAGAGAGCCTCAGACATCTAGGAATTCAAAACAAAACTCCATTGTAAGAAATCTTTTCAAAGATGGCACCATGCTACAGCTTGTATGTTCTGCACTCAGAAGGAAAGCACTGACCCAGATAGGAGAGCTCCTCAAAATACTCATGCAGGCAGAGGGGCTTGCATCAATGGCACTTTTGGCAAGATCTTCCTCCTGAACTGCTCAAGAGATGTAGCTACTCATCTGCAGTAAGGTTCAGAGCTTCAGATTTTAACATTCACGTCATTGCACCCAAGTAGTTGGTCTCCATTCTACATGGCAGAACCAAGGAGTTATCTCAAATACAGCTCACAGCTTTTCTGCTGTAACTCAGATCTCTTTCAGGAAATTATGTATTTTGGCATATGAGTTTTTTCCTCTAATTTTTCATATAGAACCTCTTGGTTTATGAACAAATACTGCTTTTCCTTTCTATAGTATGTTCCATTTGAATTTGCTTGAGCTTTTGACAAACATTTAGGTAGTCAGACTTACAACTTTTGAGGTAGGGAAACACTAGAATTATCTCCCTTGCAAGTCAGGGTGCACCTTGAAATTATGCAGCTTGCCCCAGGTCACAGAGGACATCTATGGAAAAGCTTGAAATTCAAGTCAGGAGCCCTAAGTTCACTCCTTTACTTTAACCACGTGGCCTTCCTTGAGGCGCTTCATTCAGGTGTTCTCCAGTTAAGCTTGCTACTTTCCTGTATTGCAATTATATTAATTCTTCTTTTAGTAGCGTTCCAATATGCTCCAACTACATTACTACGCCAAGTGCTGCACACTGCATCTGGTATAGGAATGCAGTGTTACTCTTACTAGGCTGTCAAAGAGAACATATCATTACAAAAATAAATAATGTCTAGCTGCTTCTGGCATTTCAGTCCAAGCAGTATTTATCCCTTTTGGCTGATCAGTGCCTGACTCAATGTCCCTAAAAACTAATGGGTATATTCCCAGTTGAATTCAACGTGCATTTAATCAGGTCTTTGCTAACTGTGCTTCCAAACTTCACATTTCATGAGTGCTACAGTAACTGCCTCTTCTATTTTTACAGCATTATTCCACTTACTTCACTGTGCAGATTGATACAATGGATTTTCCTCTGCATGGATTATGTCAGTGAATGTATGTTTGTACAAGCAGGCTCTAGTTTTAGTTCTAGATGTGATGCTGCCTACATGCGTGGTAATCTGGGATTAATGTTAAAAACATATGTATTTTATCATAAATGAACAAAAATATTCAGAAAGACAAATAGATTTGATATATGAGTTCAGTGACAGAAAGAATCTTCCACTATTCAATCGGTTTGCTCTTCTGACTGAGCATTCTGCTCCAGCTTTCACAGGTGAAGTAAGACAGCTTTCTTGGGCCCAGCACAGTCCTTCCAGACAGAAGTTCTGGGTGGCCTTTAACAAAGAAAACATTGCTCCACAGTTTGCTCTT